CTCCTGATAACTGTAAAATGTATTATTTTACATAAGACAGATACAGTTGAAGAACAACGGCTCAAGGTTTAGATTTTTTTTTTTAATTTGTGATTTAAAAGGTGTTCATGCATTACAACTATTTTGTACACATCACATGCTTAAACACATGCAAAAGATGGAAAACAAATTTTAATTAGAGCAACCTTCTATTTTACCTTTCTAAAACATTAATTGTGGGGAAGGGCAAAGGCAGCTAACTAAAGATATCTCTTTTTTTAATTGTAATATTTCTGCATTATGTTTTGACCATGTAATTTAATGTACAGCATTTTCCTATGAAAAGGCATAAGGTAGAAGACAACTTCAAGTAAGTGAAGTTGTTTCACAGTCTAAAATCTCTGGCCAAATATTATCTACAAACTGTGGTATAGCTCAGGAGTTTCCACAAGGCCTGGACTTGAAATACTTCTTCAGACACATTAAGTCCCTGAAGTACTATGGGAATCACCGAAATTCTTGAGACTGAGGGCTTTATATTAATATAAATAAACAAAAACTGTCTACATTTATTTCTTGTAGCAATACATGCCAACTGCATCAAAACAAGCAAGCAGAAAGTCTGTCAAACCAGCAGCCTGGTCTTATGTGATGCCACATCATAGCAAACACACTTTTTTGCTTGGGTTTGGGGTTTTTTTTACTGTACCAACAGTACTGGTCGTCTCTGGTGATACTACCTCCTTCGCTGACTTCTCAAGTCGTACCAGTGGTTTGGGATATCTGGATGCTACGTGTTTTCAAAAGCAAGAGAGCAATAAGTCATTATTTAAAAGTCTTCCAATTCATACAGGAGTATCCGCCAGCAAGGAAAGAGACTTTATAAGTCCTAAGATGATTGGACTTCTCTAGCTCTTACACAGATTCTACCTGAATGTTTGCAGTCTCTCCTCTGCAAAAACATACAGCAAAGTTTCTGCTTTTAAGCAGAGAACTCAGATTAGAACCCTCTTTAAATTACCCAAACAAGTAAAACTTCAGAATATAGAAGAAAACCAAACCACAACAGCAAAACCAACATGAATTTCAGAAAACAACACCTTGCTGAATGTGGTTGAAAGGCAGACAGTTACGGTGACATTTGACATTTTCAGAGAACAGTTTCAGGATAGTTTTACCATGTGTGACCAAGCACTAACGTTCTTGTTTACAACATTAAATCTCAGCCCCTTCTAATACTTAACATACACATGGCCCTGTCCCAAAGTACTATCTATATTAGCATGAGCAGAATAACCCTTACAAATGGAGTTTAAAGCAGAAAAAGAGAATTACCAAATCTATTCAAAGTTAAAACTTTATGAAAATTTTTCTATATAGTTAACATTTCCATAAAATACTATGTGTGTATTCAGATGACAACACAATGAAAAATTCACATTCCCCAAGCTACATAAATTTGCAGTTTTATTGTTACTTAAAAAAGGAAGTCTGAATAAATCATATGCATCCAGTTGAAATAAAGCTTAAACATGAAGGAGCACTGCAATAAAGACATGCAATGTCTGACTGACTAATGAAACACAGTAAGTGCTAGAATGAACAATGGAAATAGATATTTTCTACTGCCCAAGAGTGTATTTTGGAGGTGAGGTTTTGTTCATTTTTTGCTTTGGAGTTTTGTACGTAACCATTGTGAGCAGAGTGAGAAACCAGCTTCCCCCAGCCAGGCTCCATCTCAGCTCCCTGAAGAGGGCAGAAGGCAGAGCCCTGCTCTTCAGCATCAAGGCCTGGGAAAGCCACAGCAGGTTTATGCATCGAGTATTCCACATATAGAAGCACATGACAGCTAAAGGCTGAATACAGCTTATGATTTCTCCCTCTCTTCACTAAGGTTTAGAAAGATAGTGTCAGAGCAACTAGAAAAAGATTTAACTCACATGCCTCGCTTCCCCCCTCTCCCCCCCGGCAGAAAGGCATCAATTTCAAATAAATGGCTAGGATTTAATATTAGCATTAACTGACATTTAGGGTGAGAAGTATTTTATAAATTTTACTTTACCCTGTTTAATAAAATACTTTGCATTAAACAGATGACCATCATTTGAATATAGAACAGTTCTATCTGTAGCTGTTAAAAAAAAAAATCAGTCAGTAGAGTCTGTGTAGCACTCCTCCTTCTGCACTCTTGCCTTCATGAGAGGACTCCACGATTCATGGAAGAGGGAAGGTTTTTAAAAGTTTCAGAAGCAAAAAGAGAAGTAGCACAAAGAGAAGCAGCACATGTTTCCATCTGAAATACAATACTCCTTTCAGCACTGAGCATTTTTGACTCAGCAGTGACATTAGCAGTAGTCCTGGTGTACGCTGTGCTGTGATGGTTTAAGAACACAAAGGGACTGAATGCAGGCAGGCAGGCAAGAGTTTGCCATTTTACCAGCTGGACAGGACACTTCAAACTTCCAAATGAGATGCTTGCCAGCAGCCTGTCAGAAGACCTTTTCCTAGAATAGCAACCAAACATTGGAGTTAAAAAACAATTTCTTGACCTAGGTCACAGCAAGGGAGAGATAGATGATCTTTCTCCACACACAGCTCAGAGTTAACCTGCATACGTTGGGTCTGTAGAGAGGGATAGAGAGCCCCCCCCCCCAGGTGCCATCACACCCGCCAAAGCACACCAGCAAGACCATTCCCTCTTCTCCCAGCTCAGTGGGCTGGGCAGTCCTTCCAAGAAACCTCACACTTGCAGCGTGAAATCACTCTTCAAACAAGACAAGTGCTTCCAGAAGGATCAAATTATGCTTTGTTGTGTTAACACAGATTAAGTTCTAACAAAAAAAGGTACTAAAATCTGAGCCGTTCTAAACCACCAAGGCAGATGAACCGGTTTGTTCATATTAGCAAGAAGTGTCTGACTCATGCAGCAAAGGGAATCTTTTTCATAGATTACATTTGGAGTGTCTAAAAACCTCAGTAAAACCCATTTGGTTTTGATAACATTTGGAGTCTTCTGAATTAAATTTTCTTTTTAAAGCTGTGGCAGTAGAGGCACCTAGGCTCCCTAAGGTACTCCAGTAAACAGGATTGCTCATAAATTTAACACCAGATCATAAACCAGAGATGTTTCTTCTGACACCAAAGTAAGTCTTCACCCAACAATGGCTAAAAGCTTGCCCCAGCTGTCAGCCCTACTGAACACATACAAGCAAGTGCCCTTTACCTGCACTTTTTTTTTTTTTTTTAAACAAAGACAAGATGCAGTAACTTGAAATTATAAACATTTTTCTATCAGAATGCACCAGTTTGGTCAGATTATGTATTAAACTATGTATGGTATGACATACCAGTGCTTTCAAACAAGAGTCTAGCTAGAGACTGCATTCTCCAAGACCTATAAACTAAGCCAACAAAACTAGCTGTCAAAACTGCATTGCAACTGGATTTTTGAATGTTTTCCAGTTAATACACAACCTCAACAGGCAGAGAAACAAGCAACTACACTCCAGAAGGCCTTTTATTTAGTGATCACACCACAAAAGCCTTCCATTTAAAATATAAAATGCAAGTTAGTGCTTCCAAGGAATTGTGTTCAATGTACATACATCATATATTTTAAATATATATATATTTTATATATTATATACAAAGATATATATTGTACATATATTTTATATATATATGTACACAAAGATGAGAAAACAATGGATTCTGTCACTATCAAGACCTGAGATTTCTTAAGAGACCCTAGATAGCCATCATGTTAGTATTATTAATGGAAAACTGTTACATCTGGGCTCAAGAATATTTTAACCCAGCACAGATAAGAACAACAGCACCCTTAGAAGAAATAAAGATTCAGTAGACATGCTAAGTTTATTATTTCTTATCTAAGCAAGTAAAGCCCTTAAGTATTTTTCCACCTTGTTACCATTCTTGCCACACTGCTCTGAAGCGCTTCCATGAATCATTTCTTATCATATGCTGGAAACTAAAGGTAGAAAACCTGAATATTAGTCCCTTAAAGAAGTTACATCTCTTTTCTAATACCGCTCTTCTATAATGGAAAATTGCTATAGAAGATCAGAGAATCATTCTCCATGTTGCTAGTAAGATTTTTACACTTTCATCTCCCCCATGCAAGAAAGGAGCAACAGGAAGAAGGATTTGACTATCTGTTGCCAACAAAACTAAGCCTTGATTATGGGGTACCATTTCCACAAACAGGAAAGCAGAACTACTACATTTAAAATGCATTGGCCTACTTGCTACTTCAGTGGTGCTGTAACTACAAGAAAGAAAAATACAAAATATTTGTATTCAAGTCCACATGCATCATCTGCATCTGGTGTGGCTGACATGCTTACAAGAAACACAAGTAGAAGCTTAAAAACCTTGTTTTAGACCTCTTACTGGGAAAATGTGAGACCTTACTCACATTTCCAAGATTGGAAAGGAGAGGAAAAAAAATACTTAAATGAAGTACAACTAAATCCAGGTGAGAAGGTCTTGCAGCTGTCTTTAAAAAGAGCAATTTAGTGATGTTTTGACTAAATTTTAAGATAATAATATACAGATCATAGTCTAAATCAGGACAGTTCTCAAAATATCTTCGAGAATAATCCATCAAGATCCAGTTTCATAGACTTCCCCCCAGCTTCTCCTATGCAAAACCCATCTATTACTTTCAGCTCAGGCTCCCAGCTTCACAGCCATCCTTTATCACAAACTCACAGATAAAGCTGTCTTCTGACTGATGCACTAAAAGAAACAGAAGAATCTCTGAGTTTATTAATTAGCTCAACTGTTTAAACCAACTGCCAGCACTCAGCATCTGGAAGCTCTAAGAGTCCAGACATAAATATCCAGGTAAGACAGGTGACAAAATGATGTCAGGAACACATTCACAAACCTCTCCCCACCTACAGCTTTTGTGACTACAGCACAAACAGAGGTATTAAGTTTCAAAAACGCTTCAGAGACTCACCTAACTTACAGGTCAACAGCTACGACTCACCTACCTGAGGACCGTCCTTCAGCGTAGCAGCCGCAGCAAAGGATGGGTTTCCCTGTAGCCTCTGCCATTAGCGGAGGCCACAGATAGTGTGTCCTGTCATATTTCGCGCTAGGGCAATTAGTTGATGGAACTGCATCCTTCTGGTGGTAGGCCTGGGAATGGGCTGAGGAACAGGCCCCATTTGGTTCTTGATGTGCCCAGGTCTCCCCATATTGCTGACAGCTTCCCCTAGCTGATAAGGGGTCTGTTAGGGCACAGAAGAGGTAGTGAAGGAAGAAGGTCAAAACTTAACCCAATAAGGACTGTGTTAAGAAGGGTATGGACTAAGACCTCCCTTTCCATATAGAAGTATGAAAAGATCACAGGCACAAAGCAAGATTAAGCACAGTGGCAAAACGGCATAGGCATTTTATGATTGAAGAGAGACTTGATTTTCCAGACTCAAACAGGACACAGAATTTACTCAGCAGGTAGACAAGTGAATTTGACAGCTGCATTTGGATCACTTTCACTAGAAATCAGAATTAGTGACCTCATCTAAAGAATCAGCTACTGGGAGCTACAGCATGCTGCCACCAAATGATGAGATTGAGAAGAAACCCAACGTCTCCAAAATGACTTTGTCTTGATTGAGATCATCAGTTGTAAAAATCAAAAGTGAAACTAGTAGATTGGAAAAAATACTTGGAAAGCAGGTCACAAACACCTCTCACCCCCCATCTGCTACTCACAATCACAACCCGTGTACCTAGTTAGATCACTCCTACACAGTCACCACTTCAACAGCGGGAAAGAGCAAACATACAAAATAAAACCGTTATAACTATAATAAAGCATGTGAAGTACAGAATATCGACATCTGGCCTAGAAATCATATCATTTTCTTTCCAGTGCAGCCGTTCTGTTCACTTTGTCTTCTGGCACTCCTCGGTGTTGAGAGTGATGATACATATCCAACAACTCCTCAAGAGCCTGGCTCTACATTCACTGCCTTTCTTCATGTAAAGTCTGAATTCTGTTGCTATTAACACCCTACAGAAAATAGCTATGGGCAATCCATCCCACCCAGGGACTTCTGGCATTACTGTTTCCTTCCTCAGCCCTGAGCAGCTGGCGCACACAGACCCCAGGGAGGATCCAGTGCTATGGTAGGGGCACCTAACAGAAGCAAAGCACCTATTTTATCAGTGTTGAATGACTTATGTGCCACATTTCCACTCTTGTTCACACGATTTTAGTTCTCTAGAATATCAGGGAATGTACTCAAGGTACACACTGCAGTTTTACCTTTTTTTTTTTCCTCTAATTCTTATTCAACAGACTTACTAGAAGCCCTCTTGATTATGATTTTTCTTTCCCCACAACACATGTGGAAATATAATTTCTTAGAGTTAAAAGCTGACAGCCGTTATGCTGCAGTAAAAAAAAAAAAAAATTAAAAATGAAAGGAGCTAGCTAAAGGAAAAGGTGATTATTTTAAAAAAGTCTTATCAAACTACTAGATGGACAGATGAAGAATCCGACCCCAAGGACTGAGGTCTGAGGGCATTGCAACACTTTGTGGAGCCCTCACCTGCAAGGCTATGAAGCTCACAGCTAAGGTTTTGTTGGAGTGATCTCTCCAGTGAGATTAATGCTCAGAGTTTCAGGCACAAGTGAGTTGCAATTTCCACTAGTGGAATAAATTTGCAGCTTGCTAATAAGATCCCATGCAGTAAAGTCTCTGAACTCAAACTAATGCTTTTGTTACTCTGTCTTCTAAATCCTGAATCATCAGAAAGTCACAGTATTTTATAGCTATAATATCAAAGTCTATTTCTAACAGAAACTGAGCAACAAGACATTAAATAGGGCCATCTGTTGAATTATCTCTGTATAAACCTTGAGCCATTATACTGAAATGCATTTTACTCATTTTGATATATCCAGCACATGATCCTCCAAGTACTCAGAAGCACTGTGAGCAGCCCAGTTTCACCTGAACAGTAACTGCCAAGATCAAAACTCACACAAAAACCTCATGGCAAGAACCCTTCAGAAGGTTGGAAGGATTTATTTAGGAAAAGTATTAGTTGTTAGTACTCAAAAGTTAGTGTCAACTTACAGCTGAAAGCACACTTCCCACTATGTTGGGAAACAAACAACCGATTCACGCTCTGCAAAACAGCAGCGCTGCTTCTAAAATGAACCATTTGACTGAACTACTCTTGCTTTGAGTAGAAACATTAGTGCAAGTGTTCTATAAACAAAACGGAAGAGGTACCTGAAAAGGTCCGGTCTCTTCCTGAACACAGCACTCTCATAGCTGACCCCTGGACCTGTTCTCTGCCCACCATAAGATTTCTTACAGACACACAGAGGAGCCACAAGGCACAGAAATGTCCTTTCCAAGGGCACGCTACTATCAAAGTCACAAAGAGGCCTAGATCAAATGCACGCTGATCTCTTAAGTACCTGCTATCATCTTCATTGCTACAGGGTCTGTAAATTACAGCTAAGCATCAGAACCAGAAGTATCAAGATTGAATTAAGATTTGGTTTTGTCAGGCTTTGATTTAAGGAAAAGTGTCGAGCTGGCAAGAACAGCTGGATCACACACACACACACAAAAAAATCACCGTGAACTATTTTAGCTGGCATTGCATAGCGCTATGTTCAAAGATACATCTATAAGCCTCCCCAGCACACACACACCTTCCCGCATAAGAACCAACAGTTCCAAGAAGCAATGCCAGCAAGCAGGCAGGTCTCTGTGCGGGGAAGTGTAATTCATGAATGAGCTCCCAGAGTAAGAGCAGCCCGGCGTCTCTTAAGAGGTCTGAAATCAATTTACTGCTGCACGAGTGTCAAGAGGGTTTTATGAGAGAAACGCATTCCGAAAAACGGCTCCCGCGCCTCCCCAAAACTCCTCGTAAGATGACAAACACACCGAGGATTTGGCAAGTGGGTCGTTTTAAGTTTGGAAGGTGCTGCAGACGCTTCTAGAAACTAAATTTCAGGTTGTGTGTCTCATTTATACCCGACTACGCTGAAACGCGCTGGCGCACGCCTCTGGATGCCCTGTCCTGCTGGAGTTTCCTACTCGCTCGGCCGCCCGAAGGAGTCGCTTGGGCGAGGGCGGGAGGACCCGCCGCAGCCAAACGCCAAACTTCGGGGGCTCGGTCCCCGCACCGGCCCGGCCCTCCCCGCCCTCGGCGCGGGGAGGAGGGAGGCGGCGGGAGCCGGCCCTGGGGCCGCGGTCTGAGGGAGCCGCCGCTCACCTTGGGCGATGGCGATGGACTCGAAGCGGTGCAGCTCCCGCAGCAGGCAGCTCCGCTCGGTGGAGTGCAGGCTGTAGATG